CTAAAGGTGGCTCCAGTGCCTGAGCAAGCTTTACAAAAGGGAAAAGGGCACTTCAAAGGCAAGTCCCACTACTGTGTAATGCCACATGATCTCATGGGTACCGGTGACCTCAAAACACCTTTCACATCCTCCAGAAGACAAGACCAAAGGAGGACACAGTGGCTTTCTGCAGTTCTTCAGAGAGTCTGCAGACAAAACTGACCATCAGTCGTCCGAAACCTTTACATAAAAATAAAATTTTAACTTTTAGTTTACCTGGTCCAGGCTAGTCCTAGAATATGAATGTCAAGCTGCAAAGTTGTTATTCTGAGGCCACAGATTCAGCAAGTTTCCTTTGGCTTTCTCAGCAAAGCTGTGCAGGAACAGAACATGAATTCATAGCGACTATCTGTGCCAACAGCCCCACCGAGTGGCCACAAGCACCCCTACAGCTCCTCTTCCAGCATCCTACAGCCGAAGCAGAAACACTTGAAAAATGCAAAACTTGCTCACCTAACCAAGCCCTAACTCACTCTGCCCAAAGCCTAGGAGGAGGGGGGCTTCCAAGGCAGAGTTCTGAAGATCTTCTTTCCAGCAAGACTGTGGAGTAAAGGCAAGACAAGGGAGTTAAAGAAAGAGAGGCTTCCTTCCTTCACAAGGAAAGAAGCAGCAAGACATACAGGCAGGGGAAGAGGTATCGCACAGCCTTTTAAAGTTTTATTCATGTTCACACACCGTGCCAAGCCATAGTCCAAGTCACCCACCCATTTCCCATCTTACCCATTACTACTTTTTCCTATTTGCAAAGATACCAAAGTTCGCTTAAACTCTTCAAAAATTTGGAACAAAGCCCCGCATCCCTCTGAGACAACATATCCTCATGGGCAGGAGACACCTTCCCCTTCAATAGTTTATGGCACAGTCTGTGCAAAAGAAGGACACTCAGAAATAAGAGGAATTCCATTCAAGCTGTGCTGTTCATACGTGTATGTTGGATGTTCATATGTCTGAGCTTATAAGAGTAGGTATTTTTGCCTCAGTGTTAATGTACAGCACTCTCCCAGCAGTACAGCAGCTGCATGACAACTCTGCTGATAAGCTCCATGCCCTCTCCTCTACTCTTCCCACTTCCTCCCACACTTTTTTTTTTTTGTTTTGGGTTTTGTTTTGTTTTTGAAGTCTAAGCTAAAACTGGCTAAAACTGTTCAGCTCCAAGAAAAGAGGTTTGGGGACAGGCTATGGACAAGCTGACAGACCAACCATCTTAAACTTCCTGCTCCTGGAAAGTGAACTTCTGAGGAGTAACCTATATTCACACTGACCTTCTAGGTGATCTAAGCTACTGCCTGATATATGCAGGTTCCCTAAAGGAAAGCTCTAGTAAGACCCAGACCATGCTAAATCACAGCACAAAGCAAGTGCCTGGGCTCTGCTCTATATTAATCTGATTTGGCATCAGTTACCTGGTTACTCAGACATATAAGCAGAAGTAGTAGAGCCAAGTTTACAGGATATTTATACAAAGATGGAGCAGACAAATCTCCCACAGAGGTTAGTATGCTCAGATAGGGCTACATCCTGCCCTGGTTTCGCAAAGATCACTGGAAGATGTACACTTATGGAAGATTTACACATATGGCTCAACAAAAGGATTATGAACAAGCCAGATACTAAACAATCCCATCTTAGAGTAAAAGATCTGACCGTTGTTAACATCAGAGGTAAAGTGGCTACTGCTCAAAGACTTTCTGGATTATTATATAGCTACAATGATTTTTTTGTTATACAGAAGGAATAGGCAGCATATAATCTACATATGACTGAGGGAGCTAAATTTCTTCTGAAAAGGCCTGGCATCTTCAGGCTGACCCTATGATTAGCCCAAGTAAAAAATAAGCATTGTAACTGGATCTAGATGACACCTAAACGAAAAAAAATCTTGCAAATATTAGATTAGCTACAGAAATTCAGAACAGGGACTTGCCAGTACGCACTAGATATTTCACACACTGATACGGTATAAAGCCACATTAATGGCACACATGAATTATTGGATCTTCCATGTTACTGATGCTGCTTTACAGCAATACTGAGAGTATTTGGACATCTATCCAAAAACACACTAGTAGTACAGAAAGATGAAGCCTAAGGTCAAAAGTGGAAGTACAGCCAGTGGTAAGCATGAAGGCTGATACAGAGGTTTCCCAGACTAAGTGAATAACTGAGATCAACTCAAGACCTGCTTCCCTTTGAGCTTTTACCTAACAACAACAACAACAAAAAAAAAAAAAATCTAACAGACACCTCTATCAGAAAAGTGAAGTATTTTTCAGTTCAGCAATACATCAAATGGCACATTCCCTAATGTACACGTTGCTTATAGTATTAGCATTTTCTTTTTTTTTCCAATAAAAGTTTGTAGGAAGCAAGAGGCTTTTCTGGCTGAAGGAGAACAAGGTACCTTTTCTCACACAAGAGCTGTGCTAAAAAGAAAGAAGTGGGGACAGAAGTATAGTAACAGTAAAATAAGCAACATCAATACAGTAAGAGAGCTAGGGACTTTGCTGAAACAGCAAAACTATTCCTGCCCAGGTGGGTAACCAAAATTACTTGGTGCCATACGCACTCAAGAGGACAGACACTATACATATATTACCAGACTAATACATTCATATAGATCACTCTCACCTCAGTAGAAATTACATGTTTGTTTACAGAATTGCTAGCTAAGAAATATTTTTCATAGTACTCTTTAACATCTAGCTGCAAATAGGCATGCAGTCTGTATTTCTGTACTGTTAAAGATTTTACCCTGAAATAAGCCATGTGCTAGGTATAAGATGTAGTCATGAACACCACTGTTATCACTGTAGACTTTGTGGGGTTTGGGTTTTGTTTTTTTGTTGACCTTGCAGCCCAAGCAGTACAATGCAAATTTGCTGCAAGTTTTACATAGTATGTGAAGTACTGAAGTGAAACTACACATTGTTGTGCCAACTAAAGCGTTATGCTAAGCTGCATAGCAGCTACTGACATTCAATTATTCTCACAGGTAGACCACAAAGAAGGCTGTGAAGGTCTCATTCCACTAAGAGAATAGCCAGGCTAGACTAGCAGCTCCATAAATGTCCATCTATAATGTGCTTATTTCACACCAATGTCTCAAAATAAAGGAATTCTGCAGCTTTTTTGATTCAGGCCTTGGTAGAGGGCTCTAGGCATTTAGACAGAAGTATTAACAATAAGACTCAAAGAAAATTTTGGATAACACTGCCCTCTTGAAGGAAATTGAGCCGTATCACCCTAGTAAAGCCATCCTCCCTTCACTGCTATTCAGGCCACACTCTCCCCACTGCCTTGCCATATGGTTCAACATGAGTAGAAGTTCTTCGAAAGCAGCAGATGACTCACACCTAGGAATCAATTATCTCTAGATAAAATATAGTTTTGGTTATGTTTTATTTATAGGTATTTTAGGTACAAATAAATGGACTGGCTCCTCTGAAGGCAGAATAAGCTAATGGAAATACATCAACTTGTCCTTGGAAATCAGAAGTTTTGCTTCTTCATGAATTATGGCCTTTTATTTTACCTGATAGCTGGTGTTATAAAACCCCTGAGAGCAAGAACCAGAAACTATGTTTTTTCTTATCCTGCCAATTCCTAATCATTGGGCTACACAAGCATGATCTCTCTAGCCTGAGAATCTTGATCTTTATATGCAGCTTCCTGAAGGACAGTAAGCTTATCCCATTAAAATCATCTGCTGGCTGGAGCAATCCCTTGCAGCATCTATTTGAAGCTTTTGCTAATCTCTTTCCCAAAAGCTGCTGTAACATCCAGGCTGTGGAGCACAGCCTCCAACCTGTAATTATGAGAAAGCAGATACTACTACTATATTTATAGAATACCAAGTCACATGAGTTTCCTTTGAATCTTTACAGCATTGCAAAAAAAAAAAAAAAAAGATAAGACACCAAAATTCCCAGAGAAGTTAAAAGAAGGAATACTTGGCTTTCAGTATCTTGTCAAGCTGGGATATAGACTAGACTGACATGGGAAGCAGGGACATCGCAAGAAAGTTCAGGGAAAACTACACAAACCTTGCCATCTGTCTCCAGGAATTTCATAGTATTGTAAGTCTGGAAGTACCTACAAATTATCACATGGTTCTGCACAGGCACTGAGTTCATTAGCAAGTTCTGCCAATGAAAAGCAACATCTTCTCACAGTCAGTGTCTGTGTCACACTAGAATCCATGCTATGGCAAGGGGAGTGGAGCACACCTGCACAGGAAGAACAGAATGCTTTAAACACACAGCACAAAAGGTAAGATTTGTTAAAAAATTCACTTGCAAAGCACAACACCCAAAACATCACTAACTCTTCTGTGTGTGGCCTAGTACATGAAATCCATGACAAATTTTTCTGTGCCTTGCATGTATTTAACATTTTTAGCTCCTGGAAGAATCATCTACCTTAGCAGTTAAACTCTCACTAGTCTCTACACCAGATGCTGCTGCTGCACAGCACTGCAGGACTGGGGGGATGAAGAGTGCACTCACTTAAAAACACAAAGTTGTGTTACATGCACACACACGTATCATGGACTATGTTTAGTGGAAATGGGAAAACTGTATGAGAAGCTTTGTACTAGGTTAAAATTTGCAGATTAACATGGACTTCCACTGAAGTATCTCACATGCTACAATGTAAGAAAAAACCTCAAAGCAAAATATTAGAAGGGTCTGATGTCTCAGTAAGAGGTTTAGAAGCAACGATGACCTGTTGTTCCTAGCTGACTTTCTAGCACCTCTAGTTGAAGTCAAAAAAATAAACAAAATCAGAAAAATATCCATACAGGCTTAAATCCTCCTCCATTATAAAAAAACCTTCTAGAGGTATACATTCCTACAAATGTACAAATGGAAATTTAAACTGGAATGTTATGCCAAGTCAGTTGAGATAGTGGGGTGGGAAAAGACATGGGGAGAAATAACCTTCAATATCCTTATATCAACTGTTTTTTAAATTAACGTTTTATTTCTGGAAATAATTAGAAACACTGTGGCAAACCAAGTGCCATCACGAGTTAAGACACAAGAGTAATCTACATAGCTTTTGTTTTGTTTTTGTTTTTAAGAGGACTAAGCACCCAAACACAGGCTTTCTAATAAGTACAAGTGAGGGTTCAATGCCCCACAGAGCAGAAACAATGAGTTCAAGCATCCAGAAATGCTGTTAAGTAAAATTATACTCTTGAGTGATTAAAGTCACCCATATTTGTGATGAGAGTAAGTTGGTATTTACATGGATGCTACTGCTCCAACAGGATTTAAGCTTAATTGAATAATGGTACTGGAATATCACCTATTACCAACTTATCTTGAACAGTGTGTCCATTCAGGCCAGATTAAAGCACCAGATCTTCCCAGATCAACGTTTGCAGAACAGTTTCTACAAAAAGCAGGATTCTGTCTAAATGTCAAGAAATATGGCATTAGCAAGACTTGTGTTATTACCACTGAAATCAGATACTGACTGAAACAATATGAAGAGGCTAAACCAAATGTTTTCTTATCCACATCAGTGAGTTCACAACATCAGGATCTGTCTAGAAAGTTAAATGTGTTGACATGGTTTTTTAGAAAGCTGACTTTTGCTTGGAATAATTATTCATCCCATGCAAAACACAAGCTCTTGAGTTCAGATATGAGCATAAACATAATGGAAGGGGAATACAAAAGATGACAGGTCTAAGAACTACTTTCAGGAGTCTGAACTCTAAGAAGTCCCTTCTTCAGTTCAGCAATTTTATCTTCTCTTGCAGCTGCATAACTCTTTGCTGTCTTAATTAGAGAGTCATGATGCTTCTCCAACCCAGCTTTCAGATTTAGGTGTATTTCCTAGAAAGGAGAGATAAAGGGGAAAAAAATAAATTTGGCAAAGTTCACATCTATGCTTTATAAGGATTTAAGTGAGAGTGGTCTGGTGATCTCAAGTCATTTCAGAGGTACCTCATCCCTGGCTTAAGCAGCAGCATTCACAGAACATAAGGAAGTTAAAAACATTGCAAGAGTAAGAGCAGACACAAGCAAAATCCCAATATTATGCCTGGGTTTTAACTCTAGTCACAATACTAAGACGGTCAAGCAACCAGCCCAGTAGTCACACTACTGCTGCCCCATTCTGTGTTAACCTGTGTCACCAATGTCTCTGCCACTGTGAACGCTACCATTGTCCTCCCAGCACGGACAGTACTTCAGTAACAAACACATAGGATGAGATGCTACAGACAGACTCTGATCCCCTAACTCCCAACCCATCAGGATTTATGTCTCTTTCCAAAGCTGAGCTGGACAGACATCTTCCTGAATCCCTAGGAAGAAAGTGTCTGTGACTGATTTCGCCTGCTAAAATACTGGGCAAGCACACCATTCCGGAGTCTTTTCTTTCAGGTCAAACCCCACTTCTCCTGTGGGCCATCTGTACAGCCTGCAGAGACAAGAACAAGCACCAGCAAAACAGTGGGACCACAAGCAGGAAAGTACTCTCCCTCTCACTATCCACCCAAACCACCACCTGCACAGCCTACTCGTTTTTAGGGCCAATAAGTGTTGCTTTATATACACAGCCCGAGTGAAAAAAATCAGTTTTGAGAATACCAAACTGGATTCCTCTAGGGAAAAGAGCCCACCTTGGCTTTCATTTCTTCCTTTTCAGCATTCTCCTTCAGCTGATGAATTTTGAACTTTGTCTGTTGGATTTCCTTGTGAATGGCCGTCACTTTATCATATACAGCACCCCTCTTCTCCTGAACTCTGTTACAATATCTAAAGGTAGGAGGAAAAAAAAAAAATAGTACCAAGTTTTTTGACTAATTCCAGATTAAACTTAACCACACCACAAACAAAACTTGCATTTTATGAGCATGAAACTAGCAGCTTCTAGAAGCAATGCTGTATATAATTTACTTGCTTGGAAATCTGTCCAATTCTTAAACTAGAACAATTTAGGTACAAGAAGTGAAATTCAAAGTAGAGTTAGAAGATTATGTTGAAGATCCTCAGTTGCTGACAATCAAAGCAACTCAAGGGACTACAGCAGAACCAAACCAACAGAGAGCTGGACACTGCATCTTCCTGCCTCTGAGTAATGCAATGAGTGCCAGCAGAGAGCCCTGCCTAAAGGCCAGCCACTGAACCAGGTTAAAAGCAATATAGTTGCACTTGATGTTTCAGCATAATTGAAAAATCACACATTTTGCTTAGCCTCAGATCCCCTCCCACCAAGGTAGAGCTCTAAGCCCATACATCTACACGTTATCTGCAATTTCCAGTCCATCATTTCACTGTATCCCAAACAAAGACCAGATAATATTTCCCCAGCTTGCAGGTAAATTCAGATAGCTCTAGCTGAGCTGCCATGTAATTAGCACAGGGTTGGTGTAGGAACAGGAGATCTTAATTCAGTTGCAAAACACACCTACCAGTTTATACTAAGCACTTGTACAGCAATTACAGTTGGAATTGTAGCAGCTGCTTTCTCTGAAGAATGCCTGAAAACATTCATACTTAGCAAGAGCCTACTTACATCTTCCTACCTCAAGGAAACAGCCAGGACATATTTTCTTATTCACCAGCAAAAACTCTAGATCCCAAAGTAAAGTTACCTTCTTTCCCCTCTTGCTTGTCAAAGCATCTAATTTTTTCACTTACAAAATACCTAACACATTAAAACCACATAAATCGGCATCAACTTCTAACATAAAGGTGCATTAGATTATATTATTTCCATTCCTTATTTGGAAGGAAAAGTAGCTTTTAATTAATCTCCTTTAGCTGGTAAAATCCTCTAAATGGCAGCAAGATTCCCAGGCTTCCTTTGCCCCTCGTTCGACACACCACACGAGCTTTACCAGCATGACTAAATCTTAGTTGACTCTCAGCCACGTGGAAGTAGCTCTCTTCCATCATAGTTAATCTAACCAGCCAATAATTTTCCATATCCCCTTTCCTATCTGTATACAAAAAAAGTGTTATATAATAAGCTTTCTCTATAACAGTTCAACACTTCTAATCTCACAGCGAAGCCATGACCTTACAACGTTGCAGTTGGCTGCTGCAGAAGAGACTGCTGTGCTGTAAACACTGCCTCACAACTTGCCTTTAGCATATGGTAGGAAGGAAGATGGGCTAAGAGGCTTTGATCAAATGACACTTTTCCTTTTGTTTTAGAAGCATCATGTCAGGATAATACTCCTCTGAGATCCGAGCCCCATTTCCCCATGGGTCTTGAACATCTTTGATAATGAGCAAAAGTGGCAAGGGAAATTATGAAAAATTCATGAAAGGCAAATGGGGCTTTGTTGAAGTCTGATAAGTTGGAAAATTATCCCAATGTGACATTCTCTTTAAGAAGATAAAAGAATCAAGAATAAGCATTATAAATTAAATTAGAGCTCCAATAAAAGAATTGCTGTCAACTCACATTGCAATTATTGATTTGAGACCCCAAGTCCCTGCCTGCAGCATTACTGGTCTTCCTACAAAGCTATCCCACATCGCTCATTTTCTCCTTACTGCTAAGCTACGTGTTTGTACCAGACACGAGCTTGGGTAGCAAATAACAAAGACATAAAGTAGCGTCAGGCAGAAATGTCAACTCATCCATACTCAAATACAGTGTGCTTATATTGCTCAACGTCTTCACGCTTCTTTTTTATCCTTATTTCAGCTGTAGACAGCTTCTCATGTTTTGCAGTGACCAGTCTCTTTAAGGACATTTCATCTGTTTTCCCCTTTTTCAGCTCTATCTGAGCACTCTCAAGCTGGTCCTCCAGATTTCTGACCTAGAGTACATAAGTATTGAAATAAATTAAATGGGGGAAAAAAAAAAAAATAAATAAAAAATCAAAACACCATACCCTGTCAGTTCACTAAGATCAAAACTAGCTTCCTGGGTTTTGAACATCTGATTGCTAACTAATTCTCCCAAGTTATATTCCAGTTCCCTAGTCTTTATCTGATTTTAAATATATCTGTATGGACAAGATCCCATCACTTAGAATGATTTTTATAAGTTACTATGAGTTCTGCTATAGCTCTGAGCCAAAGGCAATTTGAACATGTGCTACACAAATACCCAAAAAAGACTGCATACCATTTTTCAAATGCTCTTAATTACATTCTCCCCAATCTGAGTAACAAATAGCAAGGCATAGTATTGTGACAAACTTTTCATCAGGGAAAGGCTGGCTTAGTAATATTAATAAAGTTAAAGGCACTTAAGACATGACTTCCTGAAGGAGTCATTTTTTGCTCTTCGTTTCTGCTCTCTAGGCAGATGAAACTGGATCCCACTTTTCTTCTTCCATCATTTCCTACCAACAACCCCAAGACAGTTCAAACTATTTTAGGTCAGGTTTCTATGGCAACAAAAGCTTTGACTATTAAAAGTGGTCAGTAGTACATTAGCTAGGGGCACGCAGCAAAGCAGCAGCTATGCTTTACTGATGTTTTTAAGACAGAGATTTTGAAGTTTCCAAATTTTTTCTTTTTGGGGAAGAGAAGATATGGGAACTTTCAAACTAAAGACATTTACTGATGACCACCTATCTTGCTCAGATATTAAATTTTCCCTAACCAGATACAATTTGGATAATACAAACCTCTGATAATACACTGGCCAGTCTCTCCACATTCGCAGCCTGTCTTTCCATCTTCTTTTGATATAACTGCACCTCCATTTGGCATGATGGCAGAACCTCAACTAGGTCTCTATAACTTTCATATTTCTCAATAACTTCTTGCTTTAAAGCGAAAATACTTGTATTAGTAAAACAGCTTTGGAGTTCAGCAGTTATTTTGTGTAGTATTAATGCATATCAACTTTTGTACCCATTCCCTCATTGTTTAACATACACGAGAATTAATATTTAGTAGTTACTGAAATGAGATCTTCAGTTTGTAGAAAAAAATGGCATTTGGAAAGCACAGGAAAAGTGACATGCAAGTGTTTTACAGTGAACTAACTAACTTGTTACATGAGCTTTTAGAAGAGAAAAAAAGCTGTACAGTGAAGAAATTCTATACTGTTAAAACAGGAGTTATGTAAAGCATCATAAGAACAGATGCCTGGAATTACAGCAATAAATTTTACACCTTTGGAACAAAAATACCTAGGGAAACAAAGTTACACAAGCTTCACTGATGTAGGAGCAATCAAGAACTACAAATATTTAAAGACTGGACATCACTACTAAAACAACAGCCACCAAAAAAACACCAACAAAAAACCCCCACACAAAGCTGGGAAGGGAACTCAGTGTTCAGCATACTAGTGGAGACAGCTATCAATTCTAAAAACAGTGAGTGATAACAGACACGCTATGAAGCACGTGTTCTAAATCCAAGGACATCTGTGAGCTGTCAAAATATTGTCACCTCTTGGGAGCAAACAACCAGACAGGTATAGTGTAGAGTCAAGGGTTCTACACTTCGTTTCACAAGTAGTTACTCATAAAGGACATAGCAGCAGTGACTGCCATCCCACTTTGCAAAAAAAAAAAGCTACCAGCACAAATGCACAAACAAAAACTAATAAAACCCCACCCCTACAACCAACCTTCAGTTTTCTCTGAACCTGTGGTTTCATTTCAGACTAACCACTGTTCTGTTGATTTTTGACTAGAAATACAAGTCATTCAAGAAGCAGCTCTAGATGATGACAGTTCAGTAAAACATGCTTTTTTCTAATAGAATACCTCCTTGTGTGGACAGAGGAAAACCTCACCTTGGATTTCTTGAGTTTCCTAACAGTTTCTTTCATCAGTTCTTTGAAATTTTTCAGTTCCTCTGGACTCTCCACAATTTTTGATTTCAGTTGCTCTTGTTCTTCTTTCAAAGTAGCCATTGTCACTTTAAGCTCATTCTAGTTAACAAGACACATACACCTTCAATATTAGCAGTTAGGTAGACAAGAAGAATTGTGAAGCATGGTTTGCCAGGACAACTAGACAAGTTCTTTTCTGTTATAAATCATTCCTCATTAGGAAGTTTGTTTAAAAAATAAATTCCTCTAAACAGCATTAACATTCCAAATCAAAGCAGTTAATGCCCTATCTTGCTCCCTGCACACGCTTACAGGGGTGCAATACTAAGTCACAAATACAACATTTAGCTAGTACTCCACAAAAAGCCTGCCAGTTAGTATATATTAACAGCAGCTCTCTCCTTCAAAACCCCTCACCTAGAGCAACTGAGGCAGCCACTGCAAGATTTCAGAGACAGCTGTGTCAACCTGGTAGAAGAGCAACAAGCTTCCTGTGTAACCTCTCAAAAAAGTCCTTTTTTGTCCCCACCAGATTCAGTGGCTGCCTCAGACATTCTATGCACTGAAGGTAAGCCCATAGTGTTTCACAAGTCCAGATTTCTTGCCCCTTAACAGATCAGCTTCCTGAACACAGAGCTTTACATTCCAGAGATGTGTCTTTAAAGATAGCAACAAAACAAACTACTGCAGTAAAGCTTCGGGGCGGGGTGGGGGTGGGGTGGGCAGGGGCAGAGGAATGAAGGCAAATCAGTTTTTTAAAAACTAATAATCACCATCTAAACATTACCTAGCTCCAAGAATAATCTGATCTTAGAAAGATATGCTCTATTAGTTGAACTGAGATTCAAGCTACAGCCTACATGGAGGTATACTTACCAGTTTTCGGGTATTCTCTGCAATATCTGACTTCTTTTGTGAAATCACCTCTTGCAAAGCTGTCTAAAAAAAAAAAGCAACAAACTTCAATCATTTCTAAAACTATTGCCTCCTTTACCCTTCTACCATAGATCTGTCTACAAGAGAAATTCCACTTATTGTTTATTTGGACTGCCATAACTAGCAGAAAAAAATGCAGTCTGTAAGATTCAAAAGACAGGGAAGGAGAACATTGTCACAAAAGCCACTGGGAGCACTAGGGATGCAGCCAGCAGTAGCTAACTGGGAACGGGGATAAGAGGCTGGCTACCTCTATCCTTACTGACCCTGGCAACATTATACACATACACCCTCTTAACCAGAGGCACTGTTCTTGAAAAAAAGCTAAGTTAATACAAGGCTCTCAATAATATAGAGGTCAAACATATGGTTAATAATATTACTAGAGACATGCCTTAACATAAAAATAACTACAGATTTTTAATTTTTTTTCCAAAGCAGCTGAAAAGGCTGTCTATGAGACCTGAGAGGCAAGCTGTCATTGCTGCAAAGTTACCCCTGCAATCAACTCTACTCTTTTTGCCAGGCATTACCTTGGCTGACCCTTCTTAGGCCTCATTTATTGCCGTGGCTCACCTGCAGTTGTAATTCTTTGAATTCCGATGGAAAACAAAGGAAAATCATACACATCACACTTCTAAACATTAACACAGATATCTCCCAAGTCATTTCGGTAATGCATTTCAAAAAGAAAGAGCTGAATACACTTTTGTGTATCAGCTTAAGTCAGATACCAAGTATGTTTTACATTCCTTACACTGAAATGAAGAGCTGGTGCTAGGGGTTAGACAAGACATTGTGTTGCAATGACTTTTGTTTTACATCAGAAGAGTTCCCTTTATCCTTTTTAGATGTAGGCAGAGGGGAACAAAATCAACAGAAATAAGGAACACCCATGATCAGAAGCCATAGCAGCATTTCAAAGAAATATATAACAAGGTCATACTTGTTTTCGACGATACTCTTGCCTTAGTAGTTGCTCTAGTTCTCGAATATTCTCTGTCAGTTGTTTGACCTCTGCTTGATGTTCAACTGGAACAGTGCTAAGCAAAAAATAAAGATATTGGACAGTTTCAGCATCATTATAGTCAGGTTGGAGTACAGTAGATGAAACAATCACTCTCTCCAAAGAGTTTACAACCAGTAACTTTAGTAATCAGGGCAAGACAGTCTCAAATCAATACATCTCATTTCACTTTGCTTGTAAGACTTTGTAGTTGAAGTATAATCTAAAGAGCTATTTCGGCAAGAAGTGATACAAGCATAACAGAAGACTAAGTTTAAAGATCATATTAAGCAAAGCACAAAAGAACAGCACTTCTGCCAATTTCTGTGGTGATTTTCATTTATGAAATTTGCATAATATTACCTGCCACTGAAGCAGCTTGTATTAGGGTAGGCTTATAGCTGGCTAGAGAATCTCCTGTACAGCACATACCTAGAGCAGCTATCAGAGAAAAAACTCTTTGTTGTGAAAGCTATCTTGGAAACTAGCCATCTCTTCCTCCCATTATCCACGAGCAAAAACAAAAATTAATCGTGCAAAGACACAGGCAGTAGGACTAAATGGTCTGAAACGGAGAATGGGGCAAGCATGTCAAATAACTAAGGAAGACAACTTTACCCATCTATTAAGTTAAAGATGGGCTTCCTACAGCTATTGAAGAGGTAATGACATATCACTGAAAACTAACTATAGCAGCAAAAAGTTTCACCATAGTCCCCAACACACAAAATACAGTATCCTCTCAAAGCAACCATACCCTTCTGAAATCCCACTTTTCTGCCAGCAACTCTTCTAGCTTAACGCCAGTAGCTCTACTTCTGTAACTCTGAACACAACAGCAACATCACGATTTTTACTGGTTTATTTCCTAGGGAGGCTAACAAAGTCAGCAAAGTCAGACAAGGGCCAAAGGAGAAATCAAATCAGCTCAAATTAAAAGTTCCTACAGTAGTTATCAAACAGCTTTGTCAAGTCACACAGCTCAATTATTCAGCTCCTGTTTAAGAGCACCCCATACAGACTCATTTAGGTTGGAAAGGACCCTTAAGATCATCGAGTCCGACCATTAGCCTAACACTGCCAAGGCCACCACCAAACCATGTCCCCGAGCACCACATCTACACATCTTTTAAATACCTCCAAAGATTGTGACTCAACCACTTCCCCGGGCAGACTGTTTCAATGCTTAACAACCCTTCTGGTGAATAAATTTTTCCTAATACTCAATCTAAACCTCCCCTGGTGCAACGAGGCCCTTTCCTCTTGTCCTATCACTTCTTACTTTGGAAAAAGAGATTGACGCCCACCTCGTTACAACCTCCTTTCAGGTTGTAACGAGCAATAAGGTCTCCCCTCTCAGCCTTCTTTCTCCAGGCTAAACCACCCCAGTTCCTTCAACCACTCCTCATAAGACTTGTACTCCAGACCATTCCCCAGCTTCGTTGCCCTTCTTTGGACATGCTCCAGCACCCCAGTGTCTTTCTTGCAGTGAGATGCCCAAAACTAGACACAGTATTCAAGGTGCAGCCTCACCAGTGCCGAGCACAGGGGGACAATCCCTGCCCTAGTCCAGCTGACCCCACTTTCTGACACAAGCCAGAACGCCACTGGCCTTCTTGGCTACCTAGACACACCATCAGCTCATATTCAGCCGCCTGTCAACCAACACCCCCAGGCCCTTTTCCACAGGAGAGCTTTCCAGCCACTCTTCCCCAAGCCTGTAGCGTTGAATGGGGCTGTTGTGACCCAAGTGCAAGACTCAACACTGAGCCTTGTTGAACCTCATACAATTGGCCTCGGCCCATTGCTCCAGCCTGTCCAGATCATGTGCACTGAACAGGAAAGTCAGCCAAGTCACACAGTGCAACCCACTGCGCTTACTCCCGATACTCACTTCAGTTTTTCCAGCTTCGATGCTGCCTCACGATTGGCAGTCTCCAGTTGTTGGTGTTTCTCCATAGCTGACTTCTGCAAATTAAATATTCAGAGATATTTTTTATTTTAGAGCAATATGGTTTCTCTCTGGGCTTCTATTAGAGCTCTGTTCATCATTTTTTCACACGAAACGCACCATCTCTGAACTACTATGATATTCAGAAGAGAAGCCACCTGCAATTCTAGCTTCAGCCCACTGACTTACATCTATCTTTTCTCAAAAACATGCAAGATGTTAAATCTCCACTTACCAGGCTAAACTGTCAGATAAGTTACTGGAAAAAAACTTCAGATAATAGCCTAAGTAATAGCTTGGTCATAGTCATAGAGAAATCTTTACAGTATTGTTAAACTCATCCACTCTTCTAAACTGATATGTTTCCTTAAGGGCTTTGCAAAGGTTTTTCTTAAGTCATTTACAGTAGCTGTGTATGCTTATAACATGTAATTTAATTGTACAAGTTTTACATAATATTAAACGGGTACCTTCCTGTATTACTTGGCTACATTTAAGATTGCAAGGTGCTATTTCAACATGCAAGTAGAAAGCCACAACCTTCATGCTCCTAGTTCAAGGTTAACATTAATTTATACTGCAGTAGGTATCTGGAATAACATGACACCCAACCTTACATAGTTCAGTTGTAACTCCAAGTAGACCTCACGTCGGAATTCTCTGAAATTTACAAAATTGAGAATGCCACTCAGGAAGCGAATCGTCCTCTTTGTTTCTGAAAAAAGAGTTGCAAGCCATCACTATTCTGGTTTCCACATGCATTGCAATTGCTTAGGAAAAGTTGGGCAAAACATCATTCAGAGAAGAGACAGAAATTACAAAACAATCCAAATTAGTTCTTCCCCCACTCAACTGGCAAAGATTTCACAGGCTACACAAAAATCAGCACCAAGCTATGAACTTACAGTGTCTTAGCAATTCTATGCAATTTAACAAATTGCAATGGCACCTAGGAGAAAAACTACTAAAATACAGCCTCTCATTAATACAGAAGTCGGGGAGAAAGGTTGGCAATCTTCAACTAAAGCTCTGAAGACAGAATTTCCCTGTAGCTATCAGGCTAACTGAAGAGAGCCGTTTGAACTGCAGGGACCTTTTGGCTCTATTCCAAGCAAACTTCGTGAAAGATGATTACAAAGGCCTTGAACATTTTAGACAACACAGAGCCAGAAGTGAAAGAGTTCTTCAGAATGGCCTTTTCTAAGTTGTGTTGTACTAGAATCACCACTGCTGCATATTGAAAAGGCCAAAGCAAAAATTCAATTACTCCCTACATAGGCATCAGCATGAGAAACCAAATAGCATCCCCGTGTTGCCAGCATAATTTTCATTATCATATTACACTATTCTTACACTATTTCAAGTATGTCACAGTCTGCTTTCCAGACCAGCTGTTCAACAGACTCAAAGCATTCAAAACTCCCCTCAGTTATTTAACTGGACTAGCCTACATAAGAAATAAGGAGAAGTGCTCATTAGAACCAGCTTGTCTAAGGGCCACAGCAAGGGTCAGAAGAGTAGCTGGAAGACAGGGACAATTCTCCACACTAGATGTCCATCTGCCTATGCCAAACGAGAAGATAAAGTGACACCCACCACCCCAGGAAACACAATGAGCACTTGCTTACTTGGGTTTAAAACATCAGCAATTTGAAAATCAGTAACCCGGCACACTGGAAGTAAGCGCTCCCTGCAAGGGAAACAAGACACAGCCTTATCTGCAGAGATCATTACTCAGTTTTTGTGCTTTAACTATTTACTACAAAACAGATCTCGTCCTCTCATGCCAGAGTATACGTACAGCAAGCAGACAACAGTAAGTCTCAGGAGAATATCACAGTAGGATTCGACACACTTTATAAGTTAAAAATTTGTATTTTTACATCATCTCAAAGATTTCTACAGACAAAATATTGGCCTGTAGAACAACTTTTCAGCTTAATTAGGGAACTCCTAGACTTAACTATTAGTCAATTCTCCCCTTACAACTGAAATGATGCTTAAAGTCTAACACCCACCTCATTCCAACAAAGGTTATCTCCACAGAATTCAGACAGAAAGTTTACACAACAGGTACTTAAGATCTCTCTTCTAGGTGTAAAGATGACCCTTGAGCCATTCAAAGTATAAATTTGTGCTTTCATTTTGGTGAGGCTGGATTATTTGGTTAACACAAATTTTGACAAGATAGCTCCCCGCTAAGAATTTTACTCTATTAAACATTGCTATCCCCTGTTCATCTGCAAATTTCACTTTGCTCAGAGCCAACAAGCAGTAGAACCACCATCAGCAAAAAGGCATAAAGCTGCACTACTTCCAGTAAATTGGACCTTTACAAGAAATAGCAACTGAACAGCTGTAGCCTCTTGTACTTACATGTGAATATACAAATTACAAACAGGTAGAAAGCCTTCAAATATCTGTGGATACATTATGTCAACGTTGACCGGCATCTAAAAGTAAAGAGAGTCAATGCATATGTAGAGACTACTTAAACAGAAATACACAGGTTTGTTTCCACAAGATAATATAATTCAAATAGATTAAATACACTGAGGATGGTTTCCCCATGCACAGGGAACAGATGTTAGAGGCTGAAGAATGCCATCATGTTAATCAGCAGACTATTTTAAGTGTCAATTTTGGCTAGTCAAAATATAAGAAGACAACAATAACTAAAGCAGCAACACCACAAATTTTGGAATTCAATCTAAACCCTCTGTTTTAGTATGTTCAAACTGGTGCAGAAGGACAGTCTCTGCATTACACACCTAACAACAAGAAGCTCTTTCTTTAAACACCCTGAAATTCACACACTCAACTATTTTATGAAGAAATCAGGAGAAGGTAATGGTACACTGTCATCTTTTTCTGATATCTTAAACCTTATAATACAGTATCCCAGCTAATGTCATTGCCTGTGAAGAACTGAGTTATCTTGTACACACTTGATCTGCCCTCTCAGTTTACTCAAAGTTTACAATACTATCTTATTCTCACTTTCAGGAACCAGTTATTGACCGACACAGAAGATAAATCAGGTGTTAATCAACAAGGTATCAGTTAACCTCCAGCTCCACTTCTCCTTGCTGTCCTCTCAGTTAATGGAGGAGTGGAGATGATCAAACATTAAAAGCAACATTTATTTTCCTTCTACACCAGTCTAACATCCAAGCAGAGATCCTTTTCAGCCACGGTCAAAGGCAGACGCCTAAGAAGACAGTATGTATTTTCAAGTCCAGAGACGGTGTCCCTTCATAAACTTATCCAATCTCTCCTGGACCTTACAGACATTTCTGGCGCTCACAGCATCTCAAAGACAAGAAATCACAGCTTAACCACAGGAGAGGCCTCCCCACAGAGCCTTTCCTTATAGCCTAGAGTGGTAAGTGAGCTCCTCTCCATGTCTACTAGATGGAAAAGGGAGTCTCCTCAACATAATTAAAAAAAAAAAAAAAAAACAACCAGCAAACAAAACAAAAACACACCACCACACCACACACACCATCCACAACCCAGAGGCAGCACACCCACAAAACCACTATTCCACTATTTCTAGGAAGTATCATAAGCTGAAGCCAGCTTCCAAACCAGGAGCAATGATCAAAGCAACTTCTCAGACATAATCAACAAGGCCTCAGAAACAGCCCAGAGATGATCCTCTCAGGTTCATTGACCTCTGGTAAATGACCCATGCTGATGACTGCGCTGCAGTACTGCACTCTCATTCCTGCCTAAATGAACAGGCTAGCTGCCTCTCTGAACACAGATACAAATGCCCATGGGTATATCGCATCTAACACACAAGTCTTCTGCAGCAGAGGCAGAATTTCTAAGCTCCCATTCATGCAATTACAACATACAAACCAGTAAACTTCTCACTAGCAAATGGCAAGGAGCTAAGAGGGAGATATTTCAACATTTAAGTGCAATATTTTTTTTTCCTTTCACATTTAATTACACCTGCCACCACAGACATACCATGTAGAAATGCTCCAGGCGGATTCCATATACCTTCTGCAGGAGTCTCATGTAAATCATGTGTAAAACTTCAAGCTGCAAGAAGAAAGGACATGAATCAGTATTCCATAGGATTTGTTATTCAGGGCTCACAGACTAGGCCATAAAAGTAGTTCTGCCTTTAACACATGAAGACTGATTTCACTGAGCCAAGACTAACAAGTTTTCTTTTCCAATAGTTTGCAGCTCAAGCATTACCATCTCATAATACCATTATAAGAGACAGCAACCAGCTCAGACAACTACAGTCTTAACTGCCACAGCTATGCATTGTTTTTCATTACATTGCTGTTCGCTGAGCAGTTTTCAAACCAAGTGACACCAAAATCTAAAACAAGTCACAGAAACTATAACCCCATACCAAAGAGTGCCCTTCATCACGTTATTAAAAGAGGGGCAAAAAATACCTACAAACCAAGCAGTTATTCATTTACAGCACTAATCCATGATCAATTCAAATCAGTCTTGCTCCTCAGAAGCAATCATCCCATCACTCCCTAGACAAGCGGGGCCAGCCTTCTCCTTCAGCAGGCAGAAGCACTGACATAGCAGCACACGGAAACCCACCGAGGCATCAATTCCTTTTTAAACCCACCGCTCTTTCATTGAGGTGGCTGCAAGTCTGTGCTAACGTCAACGGTCAGAGCGATACAAGAAAAAAAAAAAGGGGGGGGGGTGGGTCAGGGAGGGGCTGCTTTTAAAGCACTAGTTGATCAACTAAGCTGTTGAAATTAGGACGCTATGCGAAACACAGGGTCTATTTTAACCTAGTTCCCACAGAACAGAGGAAAACAGACGGTGTGATTTCGTGTTTGTCCATTTATGAGCGCTTCCTGGGGAAGCTTGGGCAAACGCCTCTCAGGCGGAAGAGAGAAGCTCTAGGTTTAGCCTGTAACTCCTGCGAGACTCACCCGCCACTGGGGAAAGCTCGGCCACCTCACTTGGCAGGTGCTGCTGTACGCCAGAGACCGCGCGAGCCGGGGGCGCGATCACCCAGGAGACCCACCGACGCGCGAGAAAATCCGTGGAGCTACGGCACAGCAACGGCCTCCCTCACGGAGGGCGGGAGCCGCGCACCCCCCCCCCTCCCCCTCACGCACCTTGGGGCTGCCGAACACGTCGCCCTTCACCAGGTTCCGGGCCTCGGCGCCCGTCAGGACGTGGCTGCGGAGGTAGCTGATAATGTCGTCGGCGCTGTAGCGGGGGAAAGTCATGAGCTCCATCCCGGCGCCGGGCCAACGGCCGCGCCGCCAACCGCCGCCCGCAGCTTGAATCTGGCGGGAACCTCCCCCCCGCCGCGCGCAGGCGCGCCGGTGGCCTATCAGCGAGGGCGGGGGGGAGGGGGCGGGGCTGAGAGAGGCTCCGCCCCCCCGGCTGGCCGTTAGGGGCGGGGCGGGGCCGGCTGAGGCGGTGGGAGTGTGGCAGGGGCGGGAGCAGCATGGCAAGCCAGCGGGGGGGGGGGGGGGGGGGCTGAGACAGCTTTGGGGAACCCGTCCTCAGTAAAATTGCCTCTGGAGAACCCTCCTTAGCCGCCCCCCGAAAGGGGGCAAAGCCAGTCCCAGGGCAGCACGGCCGCGGGGCTCTCTTGCTACATCAGCACAAACGAGCACCGCTCGCAGTTGGGAGCGCATTCCGTGACCAAACGTGCGCCCTTCGCCCCTCGCCCCCCCTGCACCCCTTCAGCCGCTCGGCCGGCGAGGTCACGGCACCGTCCCCGAAGCCGGGCGGCTTTTGCAAGGCGTTGACATCACAGAGGTGTCACCTGGCACCGAGCGCGACATGGAGACGCTCCAGCCACCGTTCCTCACTTGCCGATGTAGAAACCCGGGGCTCGGTTTCCAGCCAGGCGCTTTGCCAAGGAGTCAGGTGAGTCGCGGGCACAAAGCGCTTCAACATACCTCGCAGCCGGCCACCTCCTCGGCATGGCCGGGACAGCCACGCAGCTTGCGTAGGGGGGCTGCTCGCGGTCCCCAGCGGCCTGGAAGGTGTCAGACCATGTCTTCTTCAAGCAGATCGCGGCCCCTGAGCCTCGTGTTTCTTTTGGGGATGGGGATGGCATCGGAGAGGATCAACTGCCCGAGCAGATGTAGCTGTCAGTACCTGGAAGTGAACTGCACAGGGCAGCAGTTGCAGGAGTTCCCTGCAGCCATCCCACTGGACACCAGGCAGCTGATCCTGGCGGCAAACAACGTGTCATACCTGCCGGCAGTGGAACTGAGCTTCTTGGCTGATTTGGTCTACCTGGACTGCAGGAAGAACCTCTTGGGGGATGACCTGGATTTCACTTTCATTGGTGTGGCCAAGCTTGTCTATCTGGACCTCAGCTTCAACAACCTCACACAGGTCACCTTTAGCACTTTTTCACACCTCCTCAGCCTGGTGGTGCTGAAGATCTCAGACAATCCCAACCTTGTGGCCATCGACAAGGATGCTTTCGCCAACAACACCTGGCTGAGGCACTTGGACGTGAGCCGGACAGGCTTAACATTCCTGGACACCAGCACTGTCCGGGACCTGCCCCACCTGAGGTTTCTGGGGCTCAGTGACAACCTGTGGCACTGCAACTGTTCCTTTTTGGACTTCATCACCTGGATGACAGAAAGCAACGTTCATTTTCCAGGTGAGGGCTGTGTGAGCAGGACCTCTCTCCTCTCTACTTCTGCAGATCTGTATGGAACGGAGAGTGCCCTCTGTTTTCTTTCCTAAAACTTCAGCTCACAGGGCTGTGCTGTTGCATGTCGACTGTAGGTCCCATCTAAACATGGATCAGAGCAGCTGGATTACACACTCTCCACCCACAGAGAGTCACACTTGCTCACATCCTCAGGACAGTCAGGGACGTGTAGCCTGTAGCTAGGACATTGCTGCTGCCCTAAAAGGCCTGGCTCCAGCCTCAGGAGATATCTCTGTGCCTACGAGTCACAGCACCCCGTGGCTGCAGTGCCAAGAACAAGGAGCCCAACGTGGCTCTGGGGAGATCTGCGTTGGGAAAGCTGCTGCCCTGAATTTCCTGCCTTGTCTCCATCTGCTCCGATTGTTTGGTGCTGCTGCAGTACCAGTAGGTCCATAACAATCACTTAACCCCCCCTCTCTCTGTGGAAATGCTCTCCCGCCTCTGTTCTGACCTGCTTGGGCAGCCTTGACAGCCCTGAGCTCTCCACCCCTCCGCCAATGTCCCCTTCACCTCAAACACCTCCCGGTAGCCTCTTCCTGCACAACGTGCCTGGCCAGCAGACCTCGTTTGTGCAACCTCCACAGCAGCAATGCTGCTCAAAGCTGAAAATAAAGCTGGGTTGAAAGCCAGTCAGCTCTTCCTCTGCTCTTAGCTCTCACTGACAGGGTCTCCAGGGAAAGTCTGAGTATTGTGGAAGTCAGTGAGAGTTTAGCTGCTGAGTTCTCTGGGACTGTGATCACACCCTGCTGCCCATTGACCCATTTCTGTACATGAAGAGTGTATGCAATGCCCTTTGCCTTAAGAGTGTGGCAGCTGTTGTGCTAGGACAGATAAAAATTACAAATCCTGCAACTTCCAGCTGTCATGGTGCTCCTCAGCCCTCAGAGCAGGTACATTTGACTGATTCTCTGTATCATACTATGACCCAATGCTCAGAAATCAGCAAAGTTAGTTGTTCCTGTGGGAACTCTGCTTTGGGTCCCAGATGAAATCTGATTGACAGAACGCAAATTGCACTCAGAAAAGCATCTGTGTCCTTATGGCTGGGAAGATCCATGTGTTCCTACTCTTCTTCCAGCACCCCAAAGCAAATTGGCTCTCTTTTATTTTAAGTTGTGAAATAAGGAATGTGCAATGCAGGTGAGCACTGAGTCCCACGGGCTGCGGCAGCACAGCACAGCTTGGTTCTGAATAAAAGCCATTTCTTAGAAACAGGGTCTCCAAGATTTCTTTCCTTACATCACCTGGGATCCCAAAATCAGCCATTTCCCAACATACTGAGAGATTCTACAGTGGCTGTGGACACCGAGTGTTCATGAGGCAGAGTAATCCCCAGTTCCCTTTCCCAGAAAATCACTGGTCCCAAGGGCAAAGCTTTGTTCTGCAGCTGCAGCCCATGAGCTCAATTTTTCCAAACTGAAAAGGAACACAGCACAGCACATACTAACGAAGAAAGCTTGGTTTTCAGTAATGCATGACACAATGGTGAGAGCAAGCTGCAAAAGAGAAATTGTTTGAGAAAGTCTGGCCAGGGAATAAGAAAGGGCCACAAAAGAACCCAAGGGGAGGAAAGGGAAGGGCGAATGGAAGCTGCTGTTAGGACAGAAACAAATTAAGAACATCTCTGTGTCTTATTAGATGTACTAAGCCCCCTATAGAGTGTAAAGGTTTTTATTTTCCACATACGGGTTACAGGCAGTTATGGAACAGTGTAAGAAAGTACTGTTCTTTGCAGTAAGATTGGAGATAACACACCAAACCCTGGAACAGGAGAACAAAGCTCATTGCAGGTGATCTGTGAGGGTAGGAGCAGGAAAGTCAACAGCAGCAGACTGGTGGTATGAATACGGATCCCTGCACTGTGCTCTGGAAATTGGGAAAGACAAATAAACCAGGGAGCTTGTGGAGGCTGCTCCACTTCCCTGCTCTGTTGGGCTCGGCTGTGTCCTGGCGGGAGGCTGTGGGCCTCCTGGGACTGGTATGAGGGCTGTGCAAAGCTGTCACGCTGCCGGGAGGTGTACACAGGCTGCCTTTAGGCAGGGAAAGGCAGCTCCTTCTTCATCGGGAGCCTTCTGCAGCCCTAAACCGAGGGTTGTGAGAGGAACTGACAGCTCCACTGGGAAGGGATGTGGGGACAGAGCCCTGAAATGTGCTGCAAGCAGATCCCCATCCTGCCCTTGAAACAGCTGCTGCTGCTTCACAGAACACCTTTGCACCAGTGTTTTGTGCCCAGCTGGACCTGTGCAGTCTAGGTGCTGACATGAAATTGCCCAAATCTAGATGGATTTGGGTAATAGGGAGATAAAAGCTCTCTGATTATATTCAGGACAACGAGATATCTGCATGAACTACTGCAGCTACATCCCTTGGTAATATATGATGTAAAGTAATGTAATATAATATAAATCCCCTGTAGCTTGTTTGTCTCCACTGCTGCCTCTCCCTCTGGGCCATCCACCCAGCCGAGACCAGCCCATGTCAGGCACAGTAACTGTGTCTGGTCCAGGGAGTTCAAATCCTGCAGAGGAAGGAGAGGGCCACGGCTGAGAGCACACTGTGCGTCTACAAACATCAAAAGGAGATGGTGCTTTTACCACACTTGGCCTTCGCTAACTTCAGAGGGAAAAGCCAGCATCTGTTTTATCACTGCATATATTACAATACGACAGGGTATAGTAGTTATTTCAGTGGAACTGAATCGTTGATGAGTTTCCTCTTCCTCTCTCACAGAACAGGCGAGACTATGTCTAACTGCAAACCACCCTAGCTGTCAAATGCACACTAGCCTCATTATTCCAGCATAATTTAGGCTATATCACTTCAGAGGGTGTTTGAGATTAAAAAAAAAAAAAAAAAAAAAACAAACCCAAAAAACAAAAACCAAACACAAGTGCTCTTATATTAAAAGTGCTCAATCAGCAGAGATGAACACTGCAGGGACAGCAGTTTGCTGCAGTGGCATAATCTGACAGGCAATATTTTCCTATGGAGGCAACACCACAGAAATTATTCTGGCAACCTGGCAATTGTGGTTTGGCAAGGGTTGGGCAAGGATTTGCATGTCTGATTTTATCCAAGCCACGGAGGGAGAGGGGTGTGAAGTCTGTAGACATTTTTCAGGAGTTTAGCAAAGTCCTCCATCATTTTTCTAGCAGGACCCCTGTTCATTATTGCTTAAGGCACAGGCAAGAGAGTCTTGCTTCTGCTTTTCCCTCTGCAGATGCTGACAACATCACCTGCTACACCCCAGAAGGCTTGCGTGCCCTGAAAATGCCTGCAGTGGAAGCACAGCTCCACTTCAACTGCCTGACCCAGCTGTACAAGCAAGACTACATCTTTCTGTGTCTTATTGGCTTCTGCATATTCTTTGCCGGCACCATGGTAGCCTGGCTGGCTGGCATCTGTGCTGTCATCTACGAAATCCACACTTCAAAGCAGGAGGAGGAGGAGGAAGACACAGTCACTTAGGATCAGCCCTACAAATCCTACTGAATGTCCATCGTGGGAACTGAAGGCAGGCCCTTCCTGCCCGATTTCCTACATTATGTCCCATTCTAGATGCTATATTTTTTGAAGTGAAATAAAACTGTGAGAGAAGAAACTCTCTGTGCTCCAGTTTCCCTCCCTGTGCTACCTCTACTTGTCTTCTTCCACTGGGATTCAGGACGTTGGCAAAATATTCATTTGGGGGAGGGGGAGCATGAGAGACAGGCACAGTGCCAGGCATTTACACTCCTGCTTTACCATGAAACCACAGAAAACCAGGGTCACAGGGACCAGCTTGAAGAGGCACAATCTGAAATACGGGAAAGACCCCAGCACTCTTCTGTAGCCAGGTTGTTCACCAAGGCCTCTCTGGCCAGAATACCCAGCAGAGCTTACTGGGACCAGCCCAGATAGCTTACTGGAGCCCCAGGGAATCCAAGAACTTTCTGCTGTGGAAAGGCAGGTATGTGAGCAAAGAGATTAAAACCAGGATTTTAGGGACCTGGGATCCCACTGAGTCCTGCTTTCTTCCCCACTACACTGGTGACAGCAAAAGGCACCATCTGTCCCCCTGCGGCAGGACCTCCTGTACCTCCACCAGTTTATGAACATTTACAGGACTGGAGAGTCTGGCTCCAGCTTTGTATCACATGTACCTAAAACTGGAATTTTTTAAATGTAAAAAATACTGCTAACGCACCTTCCAAGTATTCTTGGAAATGGCTTGTGTTTCGATGCCAAAGTCCCAAGGTTGCATATAGAGACCTGAATAAAGGGAGATGTAAATAAGATCCTTCATATCACTAACACTGATAATTGCCAAGAGAAGTATCTGCTTACATGACCGAGTACAGCAGCTCCACGTGTGAAACACTGGCTTCTCCACCCAGTACTGTCAGGATCTGGTGAAATAAAAGGGAAAAGCAGGGGAAGATTTCAGCAAGTGTGGTATAAATTACCACACTGCCTTAGAGCTATTGAACTGCGGGCTGCGAATTGAAGCTGAAATCTTTGTCTTGGGTATAATCTTGGGTATATCCATGTATGTATGTATGTATGTATGTATGTATGTATGTATGTATGTATGTATGTATGTATCTATCTATCTATCTATCTATCTATCTATCTATCTATCTATCTATCTATCTATCTATCCATCCATCCATCCATCCATCCATCCATCCTTTGTCTTGGGTATAATAAAAATGGTTGAGAGGGGCCGTGGCAGCGCGGTCTGTAAGGGTATGTATGTGCTGGGGGTGCTGGGCAGATGCCCCCTGAGCATCCCCGCGGCGTGCCCCATGGGAGGCACTGGCACGGCAAAACCCCGGCCGAGCCGCATCGCACGGCTCCGAAAACACGAGTTCCGCGGCAGCGGCGGGGGGGCGGCCGCCGGCGGGGCCCCGCCTGCGGGCGGTACCGGGGCGGGGGGGGGACACAGACCCGGCCCCGCTCCCGGCTCCATCCCGCAGCGTCCTGGGCCGCGCCGCGCCGGAGGGTGAGTGTGGGCTGGGGACCCCCCCCACTCCCACCCCAACCCCGCGGGGGCTGGGGCACGGGGGGGGGGGGGGGGGCTGGTGCCGCCAATGCACGATTCTGCTGATAGATGGTAAAGAAAATATAGGAACCCTCCGTCTTGACTTCCCCTTTGTCCTTCCGAGTGCGGGCTCCGCTGGGGGGGGGGGGGGGGGGAGAGGCCCTGCCTGCCCCCCACGGTGGGCTCAGCCTGCTTAGGCAGAGCCTGACCCCGCAAGCCTTGCGGAGGGCTCAGCCTCTGGGGCTAAGCCTGCGCCCTTGCCCGGTAACAGGGGACAAAAGGCTCTGCTTGGCTTGAGAGAAAGCCTGAGCTTGTAGCCGGTAGTCCAGCCAGAATCCAAGCTGCACAAGGAGACTTAATCAGCTTTGCTGACTCATAATAACTAGTGTTAGGGCGAGCTTGGTAAGAACCCCTTATTCGGGCGTAAAAGCACCCCCGGGGAGCTCTTCTGCTACAGCTCCCAGGCTGTGCTGCCTTACGCTCCACCATCTCTCGGTCTCGTGGCTCCGGCCTGCAATGCTGCTGTGTGGAAGATACGGATTCAGTCTTGCGCACCGCACCGGGGCTTGTCGGCAAAGTCCTTGCAGCCGCGGACAAAGGTTGCTGAAATGCACAAGGCACCAGAATCCGGAAACGGCCGCAAGGCGAACAGTCGGAGACAGGCTGAAAGTCCTGTTGACTTTGGAGTGCTTTATCTGGCTTCAGATTACTAGAGCAAAGGCCTGAGGTACAGTTTTATACCAGTAGTGTAAGAGTATCAGCTTTATAATACACCCGTCTTAATGCTTTGCCGTGCTTTTTGCTGTCAAGATAAATCCTCAGATTATAACGTAGCGCTGTCGAGATAAAATGCCTCATCCTTGCTGGCAGGCAGGTGTTCTCCACCTATAATTTGAAGGGCAAAATGTGACCATCAACCGGCTCTACTGGGTGGGAATGTGTTTTCAGTGTGTCATCTATCAGGTGCTAACCCTTATTACATGTGGGTGCAGCAGACTTTTCTTTGTTACTTTAGGTTTTCAATATTTTTACTGATAATTATTTCCCAAACTTGATGTGGCCAAGCCAGCTGTTGTCTTCACCTTGCTCCACCAGCAATAAAACCCTTTGCAAATGCGAAAGAAAACCCTCTAGTCCCTGCAGATCCCTCGTGAAGGGTGCCGGCGCCGCTGCAACAGGAAGGCTGTTTGCAGCCGTTCCTTGAAGTGGCCCATTTTCTCCCACACTGCCAGATTGTGCTGGTGGGACAGTGCAGGAGACACCAAAAACCTTGCCATGTCGCGGAGGCGCCGGCCGGGGTTTGGGTTTGGAGAGGGAATCGGCTGGAGAGGGGGCCTCTGCTGTCTTCTGCCGTGCCGCACCATGCAGTGCCGCCTTGGGTCACGCAGACTGATGAAGCTGAGGTTTGGGATTGTGCAAGAGGATCGGTGCCAGCTGGGTGTGGGGAAGGCTCTTGTCCTCGCGTGCAGCTGGGGAGGGTGCTCGGTGCTGCGTGTCTCCCGGCAGCGCGGGCTGACGGCGGGCCCGGCAGATGGAGGAGGAGGAAAGAAGGAGAAGTGTACCTCAGTGGTACAAATGAACCATTCACGTGGCCCAGCTCCTTTCAGCTCGGGATTTCTGAGCCAGTTTGTGTTTGCACTGTAATTCCCAATTTACCTCTCATTCCCAGGGCTTGCCCGGTTTCCCCTTGAGTTTCTGAAAACTGCCTGCATTCACAACAGCCCTCGGCAGGGAGTTCCATGGATCTGTTTCCTACTGCATGAAAAAACACCTTTTTTTGTTTGCTTTCAGTCCGTTTCCTGAGTTCATTTGGTGGCCCCTAGTCCTGGTGTTTCCGTCCACCTCTCCAGAGCATCCCTGCAGGCCCTGGGCTGTGTCAGTGAGGTTGTGGGGTTTAGCCAGCCACGGCCAGACCCCATGGGACCTGCTCTTGGCTGTAGTCCTGCTCTGAGCCAGAGGCTGGACTAGGGAGACACCACCTCCCACCAACATTTGGTGATTTTAAGGCTTGTTTGACAAGAACTGAGCAGAGAGCCCTTGGTTGGTGCGCTGCTCAAAACCCAGCAGGCATCAAGAGGTGAAAATTCCCCAGTTCACCGTTTCTCTCTTCCTTCAGCCAGTCCCTGTGCTGGGAGGCCTTGAGTCCACCCTCAGCAACTCTTCCTTCCACACACACATATATATATACCTGTGTGTAGTGAGCTGCCACTTCCCCAGTCACACCCTGAAATAGTAATGGGCTTTCTTTCTCTGGCAGCACCAAGATGGCTGTTCTCTCAAAGGAGTATGGCTACGTCATGCTGACGGGGGCTGCCAGCTTCGTCTTGGTCACGCACCTCGCGGTCAAAGTGGCCAAGGCCCGCAAGAAGTACAACGTGGAGGTGAGTGCTGAGGGAACGGGAAGGTCGGAGCCGGTCTGCAGGGGATGTTGCAGACAAGCTAGGTGACACCGTGCTTGTTTTGGGGTGACTTGGGTGACATTTCCTGCCCCACGGATGCAGAAGGGATGGAGCTGCCGTTCTGGCTCTCCAGACTGGAGCAGACGGCACGACAGAGCTCGGGGTTGGGGACATCAGGCGCTTGGCACCAAGCCGAGACAGCTGAGAGGACAAGGCTTTGAGCTTGGAAATGGTGATAAGCAAGAGACTGCGCAGCCTTTTTTCCCTGCAGAGGAGGCTGCGGCAGCATTGAGGGCAAAGGGGTGGTAGTAGAACAAAAAGAAGAAAGGAGGGTTCCTCGAACTCAGGGGGAGCATGTGAGCCCTGTCACAAGAAGTGCCTCCAAGTGACCTTCCCTCAGCATCCGCTGAGGGGCCTTTGGACTGGGCAGGGCTGCGGGCTGGGTGGGGGCAGCCAGTCCTGTCCGTGAGTCAGGGCGACGGCACGCAGAAGCTGCTGTGCCACTTGGCTCCGAGCACAAACGCCCCTTTGCCCTTTCCCCACCATCACTCGGGGAAGTGACAAGCAGGGCTGGGCGCAAGGACAGCCCCGGGATCCTGTTGGGGTGACCCCCCCACACTCCTGCTGCATGAAGTCGGGATTACAGCAAATGATGTGCCCTGTGTGCGGGGTGCACGGAGCACTGCATTGCAGGCTTGGGGAAGCCCCTGCAGCCCAGCCGCGGCTCCGGCTGGCTGCTCAGCTCTGCAGGCTGTTCCTGCGGGATGGGCTGCTGCCAGCTCCCCAGAGATGTGGGGGCATGTCCTCAGTAACGCTGCCTTGCTCTCCCCTGCAGAGAGATGGGATTTAAGCGAGGAGGTCACCCAGTGCCTGGATATCTTCTGTCCCCAGCTCCAGGGGACAGTGACTTTGCTCAGGGAGTTCAGGGAGTGGCCTGGAGCAAGCAGGAATTTCAACAGAGCAGCTGTGGGCCACAGGGCAGGAGGCAGGCTCTAATTTGCCAATGCAAATCTGTCTTGCAAGCACCCAGGCAGCACTGAGCAAACTGGGGAGAGGTGCTGCAGGGCACACTCCTCGCTGCTGGAGAATGCCAGGCTCCCAAGCCCAAACTGCACTTGCTCATATTTTGCTGGGTTTTTTTGTTTTTTGTTTGTTTTGCAGTATCCAACCATGTACAGCACAGACCCTGAACACGGGCGTATATTCAACTGCATCCAGCGTGCACACCAGAACACGTGAGTAACACTTATGAATGCAAGCCTTGAAAACACACAGGGCAACAGAGCAGGGCCTACAGCTAGAGACTCGCTGCTTCCAAGTGCTTAGGTTCAGGCTTAACGCTTGAGGAAAACACACAACCATACACTTGGCAGTAAGGCTGTGCTAACTCCTTACCCTGCCTCAAACCACGAGCCAGGGCTATGAAGCAGCCTCCTCTTCCCCAGTGCCCGGCTCTTTGCCTCCACGGGTGGATCTTAAGACATGAGAAATAGTGTTTCCAGAAGAGCCTGTCTGGGGCGCTGCTGTTGTGTTGTGCTGTCCAGGTCTCCCTGGGGAGAGGGCTAAGCCCACCCAGCCACCCAAGCTGCGACAGAATGTCAGAGGGGTGCCAGGAGGAGCAACTCCTCCTGGGTTAGCTGGTGGTATTTAACAGCAGCTTTGGGCACAAAAAGGAAAGGGTGGGTGGGTATCCAGCCTTGGAGAAAGGCACAGAATGGGGGGGGGGGGGGGGGGAAGTCCCTAAAAGTCTGTGCCTGCCCAGATTCCCTTTTTTCTCCATCTGTGGCCACAGCATCAAGCACAGAGACTCGTAACAGTCAGGCCCAGCAGAGACCTTGCCAGGGGATGCTTGCAGCTTCTGCATTTCTGGAGTTTCCTCTTTGTAAGTGCCCTGAGCACAAACACAACCTCCTTGCTCTTATTTTCAGACTGGAAGTTTACCCTGCCTTCCTGTTCTTTTTAGCCACCAGTGGAGTCTACCACCCGGTAAGTAACCCTGCAGTACAGGTCTGCAAAACAGAACTCTGCTCTTGCTCCCTGACTTGAGGAGGGTGGGGGGCAGTAGGCAGCTAGCCCCTCTGCAGGCAGCAGGCTGCTTCACTAGCCACCTCATGCTTCACAGCTGTGTCCCTCCTGAAAATGTAGAAGGTCTTGTGCAGGGGAATCACAAGTATTTAATAAAATCACTACTGCTGCTTCAGCTTTAGACCCCTTTTCCTTCCCCTGAGGGTACTGACAACCTGAAGTACTCACAGCCTCCACTCTGTGAGTGGGAAGGGTCCACTCCAACCCTGCCTGGTTCTTCCAAGCCTTGCAGGGTCCTGCTGGGCTTACAGCAGTGCCACTCAGTAGCTGGGTGGGAGGGGGACAGGAGCCCTTCCCCCCCCTCCTTCTAAGCATCTTTTCATGAGGAGTTTACCCGATGAGATTAAATGGGGAACATAGTGATCTTACCACTCACTTCCACCATCAAAGGTGTGTGCAAAGGCTCAAAAGAAGCCTGGACTATTTTTAACGAAAGATGTAGACAACTCATGAGAAGATGGGCACGTGGGAAAGGCCAAAACCTCCAAAGCCTTGCTCGTTGCCACCAACAGACAAGTCAGGTCCTTCTTGAATATGCCTTTTCAGAGAAGGAAGGAAGCAGCATATGCAAATCTGGCAAACTGAAGCCACATTGCAGCAAGCTCTAAATTCAAGGCAGAAGTTTTTAACACCTCCTCCAACAGGAAAACCTTTTCAGCTGCTGGAGGCAGGGGAGCAGGGCTCAGGGCAACAGCTGTCTCCAAGCAGCAAGTCTCCAAAACCTTTAATGCTTCTCCTTTCTCTCTAGCGGATCGCCACGGGGCTTGGCATCACCTGGATCCTTGGGAGAATCCTTTATGCGTATGGCTACTATACAGGAGGTAGGTCTTTACCCTGCAGCAGCATACAGCAAGCGCTTGGAAACTCAAGTCTCAATTGGCCTCAGGGCTCTTTCCTCCAGCTCACATCAAGGAGGCAGCATAAAGCTTCCAGTCAGGGTGGGGAGAGGAGAGTGCAGGTCCACAGGCTGCTAGCTCTGCAGTACACTTTTCCTACTGCTAGGAAGAGCACTAGTCCAGTAATAGCACAGACCGAGGGCAAGTACATGGCCTGAGCTAGTGCCTGCTGTTTTGCCTTGAGATTTATCCCTAGTTCCTGCTCCCTCTTTAATTTTCAGGATGGGCTATAGGCTTTCAGTGATGAGCTGCTGAACTGACAAAACACTGTGGTTTTTTTTTCCAGATCCAAAAAACCGAAGGAGAGGGACCATTGGTTCAGTTGCACTCATTGGGCTGGTGGGCACAGGCGTGTATTCAGCTTGCCAGCACCTCGGCTGGATCTGCCAGGACCGTCACGGTGGCTGCCTGAGAAACTAAAGGGATTTTTGTTTTCTTAGAACATTTTATTTCCTGTTTTTTTTTTTTTTTTCTTTCTTTTCTCCTCATGCAATAAAATAAAGCTGTCAATTCTGTATTTTCATTCTAAAGTAATAGAGGGTTTTCTTAAGAAGTTTTGCAGAATGCTAGAAGAACTCTGGCTTTGTAGGACTACAGTAATCTGCCCAACAGGTAGCAATGTCCTAGCTTTTATGATTTTAATGACCAAAAAGCCATCTTGCAATCTGTTTAACTCATACAGCAGCAGCCCTATTTCTGGACCCCTCAATTCATGTCACTGCATTAAGATGTTCCAGAGTTAATGTTTATTTGATTGCTAAAAAGAGATGTAGACAAACATTTAAAGTTGTTGCTTCATTATGTTTAAAAGCAACAGTAGGCCTATAGGAAGGAAGTCAAATAGCTTTTGCTTAAGAGCAGCAGCACTCTGTCCTATGCTTGCTACCACTGTGGCTGTGTTCCATGCTCTGTGTGTGGAGATGATTCTCAAGGCCATGCCAGTCCCAGGCAGCATCAGCTAGTCACCCCCACAGTATTTTGTCCCACCTTGGAAGTGAGGTACAGTTAGAAAAAAAAAACAAAACACCCTTGTGCTTACCGGGGGGCTAGAGGGAAGAAACAATCCTACCGTAAGGCTTTTACGTAGTTAGAGAATAGAGCCTAGAGCTATGGGATATCAATGTGTCCAAGAGCTTATAGGTGCACTGTGTCCTACATGTTAAAGAGCCAAAACTGAAGTTGACTGAGGGTAGAAGGCAATGGGGTTCAAGATGCACAGCAGGGGAAGCAGCCTGGGCCAGGCCCTGGCCACTGACAAGCCTCTGCTAACACCTGCATTGCTGCAGAAGCTGCTGCTGGAAGCCACATTGCTGCTCCTACTCCAAGGTTCCCATCTTCCACCAGATAGGACAGAGCGGGCCCACAGGCTGAGCCCTGCGTGTACATTCCCCCTTGCGGGAGCGGGACACCTAAATGCTGCTCCAGCATAGATTCCCCTCAGGCACTTACAATTTTAGAGCACTACTGCTGTGTAAATGATCCACATCTCTGGCTGACAGGCAAGAACTGGCTGATGCTCCCTTGAGCAGGACCCAGAGCCACTAAAACACAGATTCCACATCACCCATTTCCACGCAGACAGTCTTCAGCTGCGAGTAGTACTCGATGGCTGCCCGCCCATTCTCTCTGCCAAATCCTGGAGGGAGAAGCCAGAAGTGAGAACACAGCTCCAAGCAGTGCCAGGTACCACTCATAGCCCCTGTGACCACCATGTAGTCACACCAGGGAAGGTCAAGCAGAGCTCACCTGATGCCTTGTATCCTCCAAAAGGCAGCTCCACAGGGCTGATGTTGTAGTTGTTAATGAAGCACATCCCAGCCTTGAGAGCAGCCACTACCCTGTGAGCCTTCTGGATATCCCTGCAGGGTAAGGGCAATTCAGCTGGATCCCCTCCCATTCATCCCCTCCTTCTGAGCCACTTGACATCCTGCTAGAGAAAGTCCAGCAGGTCACAGTGGTTTTTGGAGCCTGACCTGCCCTGCTCTGTCTTTGCCTGCTCAAAGGATGCAGCACCTATTCCCAAGGGCACTCAAAACTACATTTGATTTCAAAGGGCAGGATAAGGACACCACCAAAGCAGACGACAGCAAGCGGCCAACAGCTGTCTTTGCATGCTTTCAGCAGCATGGCAGGCTCCTGGTGCACGTCTCCTGGCGATGCAGGAAGGCAGGCAGCAGGCCAAGCACAGGCTGGAAGGAGTCTGAAGGACAGCTGGGCCCAACCTAACCCTTCAGGAAAAACTGGGAGGAGATGCACAGTCATTTACAAAGTTCCCTTTTGGCAATCCCTTACTCCAGCTTTTCTGGGAGAAAATATCCATGCCCATGCCAAGCATTGCAAGAGGAGCATCAATTTGCTGAAGCATTCCCTTTCCCCTCCCCTCCTTAGCCTGCTTCCACACCAGCCACGCTATCCAGTCATACCTGGTGAAGACACCACCTGCCAGGCCAAATTTGGTGTTGTTGGCTCTCTCCACAACCTCCTCCTCCGTGTCAAATGGCAGAATGGACATGACAGGCCCAAAGATCTCTTCCTTCACACATGTCATGTCATCCCTGCAGTTCCCTGGAAGCAAGGCAGAGCACACACGCTTCAGGAGGAAGAGTTAGCGGCACAGCCTGTGCATTCAGCAGCCCACACAGCCTTTGAAACAGCACTCATCACCGCACAGCTCCCTCGGCTTGGCTAGCAGAGGAGCAGGTCCCATCCTGCATCTCAAAGCAACAAAGGCACTAACTGCATATGCTCTGTCAGACCTTCCAAGGGCAGAGGTTTCTCTGGACACAGTTCTCGTATGGGTGTACTAGAGAGAGCTGAGGCACTCGAGTGCCTGTCCACACTGTGGACACACACAGAAACAGGTCACACTGAACACAGCTTTATCTCGAAGAAAACTTCCACACAGAAGACCACAGTACCATGAGTAGGAAGGATCATACCTAACACACAGGGTCGCATGTAGTAGCCATTCTTCAGCTTTGGGTCATCTGGCACATACAGGTCTCCACCACAGAGCACCTCTGCTCCCTGAAAAAGAGCCAAGCAGAAGGTAGGCAGGCACATCCTGGGGCACCCTGCCCAGCTGCCACAGCTCTGGCTGGCCAACATTCCCTGATGGATTTACAGTCTTATCAGACAAACCGTGCCTGCGCCCTCCTTGGTAGCTCTCCAGGTCAGGACTGCTGACAGGGCACCACCGAGAGTAAGAGGCAAGGGGCGAGACCCTTCCTAAGAGTCCAAACAATGCTGGTTTGGGGTGCAAGTGCCACAGGAGCCACTGTAGGTTGGAGGGAAGCAACTACAACTAAGAGCAGATCCTCAGCTGACATGACATTAACTTCCACATCTTCACATGGTGTCAATTCCCTCATTAGCAAATCAATTAAGTCCCTTAGCACACCACCTAGCAAGAAACACCTACCTCCATCAAATGCCTGACTTGAGATAGGGATTTCTCCTCTCTTTCCCCACATCCCTCTTCCTGTTTCCAAATCCCTGTCTAGCTCTCCTGGCTTTCATGCACAGTTCCCCTTCACCAGCCCATCCCCAAATTGGCTACACTAGTCATATACCTAGCGCTGACACTTAAAACATCTTTACAATTTATAATGAAATCTGGAGAGAAAAAAAAAAAAACAAAAAACAAAAAACAGGGTAGATCTTGCTGCTCTTACAGAGATTATTTCCAACAGCCTGTAAATTTGGCCTTTGATTCTTAGTATACTTTCTCCAACCAAAAAAACTGGAACCTGAATGATGCAAAGTGCGCAAGGTATCACCACAACTTAGAACCAGCCCAAATGTTACAGATTATCCTATTTGACAATCTCACAACCTCTAAAACTTGGCAACATCAGGATATGTCACCTTCAATGCTGACTCAGAGACATGCACTGGGTCACTTTTAATCTAGTGGCCCCAGACACCTATTGAGTAATTCAACCACAACAAAAAAATAGGTTAACTGAGAAGGCATGGGGCAGGAAAGCAGCTGCCAGTCTGTTTCTCTAAAAAGAGAGACACATTTCAGGGCAGTCACAAGGCAGGATCACAATCTCACCTGCTCCTTTGCCTGCTTGATAAAACCCTGGACACGATCCAGGTGGGGCCGGTTGATGAGGGCTCCCATCCGTGTGTCTTCCAGAAGCGGGTCTCCAATTTTGATTTTCTGGGTGCGTTTCACCACCTCCTTTGTGAAGACATCCAGTATCTTCCTCTCCACAAACACCCGCGTGCCATTGCAGCACACCTGGGATACAGGACAGGCTGCTCAGAGTAAGACACCCAGCACTCCATAGCCCTTCCCTGCTTGGGTCCTGCTACAGAGGCGAACAGAAAAGCCCCTCCCTCAAGCTGCTAAAGCAGCTAACTTGTCCCAGGGGACAAAGAAGACTAGATCAACCTGCTGCTCATGACTGTGCTGAACACTCCATGCCAGACATAGTGGTACTGATGCCACCAGGTGGCAAAAACTCATCAAGTCCCCAGCAGAAAAGAACTCGAGCTGAGTTTTCAGTTCCCAGAGATGGTCCCAGTATGCCAATTTGCCAGCAAGATTACACAAAACCTGCACATGTGGAGATTCCAAATTTGGGACGGACAGAGCCCCATAGAGCTGTGGCTCTGTGCACCGGACCAGAACCTGCTGCCCCTCCAGAGGACATGAGCACAGCTTCTTCTGACCCTTATGCACCGGGCTGGATCCCAGGGCACATGAGCAGCTGCTCTCAGCTGGGTACCGGGTGTTAGAGAGGCTCCATTTCTGGGAAGGACAACATCAGCTAAGGCACCCTCTGCTGGGACAGCCTGCACTGGCTTCTGCAAGGGTGCCCCTTCTGATCCCTGGTGACACTGTACAGTGAAATGCGTGGCAAGATGGGAGCTTCAGGGCATCCCTCATCATGCAAGGTCCCAGGCTGGCTCAGCTGCCCAATTCTCAAACCACTCCCCCACCACATTGGGGAGGACCGCGCCTGCCCCATGGACACAAACCTCGCCCTGCGTGAGGAAGTTGGCCATGAGGGCTCCGTTCACAGCGTTCTCTAAGGCACAGTCTGAAAAAATGATAAGGGGGGATTTGCCCCCCAGCTCCAGGGTGACTGGTTTGATCCCTTTAGCTGCCATCTCCATGATCTGAGGGAAAGAAAGACAAAAGAGACAAGTGACCCACTGGGAAAAGGGAGGCTGGTGGAGGGAGGCAAGAGAAACCCAAAGGGAGAATTCCTGCAGGGCCCTTCATCAGCAACAGAAGCAGCACGAACGGCAAACTGGGTTTCCTAGATGTGATTAATTCAGACTGGAGACAGTCTCAGAGGGTTTGGTGTTTGTTTTCTTAAAAATAAAAGCAACAAAACCTAAGGAGTCATTTGCAGGGAGACTCAGTGTAAGCCCAGAGGACAGCTGTGACTGCATCTGTGTCACTGCACCCCACAGGGGCACAGGGGTAAGGAGAATTCAAGGAGCAACATTTCCCCTCTTTCAAATCAGAATTTAAAGTCCTTTTAGGGACTTCTATTTTTTTGAAGAACAGAGGGTGAAAAATTCACAGAAACTAACCTGCTGCTTAAAACCAGTAGGTTTTATGCTGCTACACTGAACTATTACTGCCAGAAATTCTCACACATTTCCCCAGTGCTGCTCTGTCTTACATACCCTCCTCCACACACAGCAGCTCAGAGACATCACTGCAACCAGGGGCTAAACAAGTAAAGATGACCATGGGGCTCCTCTAAAAGGACCAAGTGCCCAAGCCTGTGCCCAGTGGGCTTACTGGAGCCCCAGTGTAAAACTGTACGTGTAAGCTCCTTCCTCAGGCCCAGAAATGTTGGCTCGTGCCCCATCTATACAAGCCTCATGCACAAAAGCTCAAGGAGGTATCGACGCCTGCAACACACTCGCAAGGCTGGCACTACAGACTCCTTGTGTCCTCAAGTGCAAAGGTGCCTTTACCTTGATGCCAGTTGGCACACTGCCAGTGAAAGAGATTTTGGCCACATCTGGGTGATGACAGAGGAACTGGCCTGTGGCCGCTCCACCCTGTACCACGTTGAAGAGCCCCTTGGGCACACCGGCCTCTGTGAAGATCTCTGCCAACCTCACCACTGAAATGGGGGTGAAGGGAGAGGGCTTGAAGACCATCGCATTGCCTAGGGGAGCCCAGACAGAGGCAAGGTGGGGTTAGCCAAACTGCTTTAGGGAAAAGAAAAACCACCCCAAAAAAAAAAACAACACCCCCCCCCAAAAAAAAAACACCAACACCCCCACACAACGAGTTTTTCTCAACAGTTCCCAGAAGGTCCCCTCAAGAGAGGAGGAAACAGTTTCAGCTGAACACTGCAACCAGGAAAACAGAGGAACTGCACCTTCCTGCCGAGAAGGGCTGGGGAGATGGGTCCGCTGGTCCTGAACTGCAGACATATCCAGAGACCCTCCTCATCCAGTACAAAGCCAAGCGATCAGCCTTTTTCTTGCCCTCTTCCATTTCCTTTCCCTTCCTGCCAGAGTAACAGCCTGAAGGTTCTTCTAATCCTTCA